TGAAAACCACTTGGTTGGTTCGGATGCCAAAAACCAAACCCGACAACCGAAAGCCGAACGCTGGTTTCTTAAAGCCGAACACTGGATGGCTTGGTTTTTGGTTTGGGCGAACACCAAGTGTTTTTAATGACTTAAACAAGTTTGAAAAACATTTTTATGATGTAAGAAATGCAATGAGAGATTTTAGCCTAAAGAGCCAAGGTGTAAAGATTGGGTCGGTCTTGATCACAATAAAGACCGACTCAATACTATGATTAAGGTCTTCGTTCTTGGTCTTCGTTTAGCTCTTTCTCTTATCTTCGTTCTTTGCCTTGTATATTCAATGTTCGACTTGATCATGGCGGTTTGGCATTATCAAAACCTGTTACAAGAACGAACACGGCTTTAGTACGAAAACGTGACAAGCCCGTGTTTCAACAAAATATGCCCAGAAGTAAAAACCAGTCATAAAAAGTTGAAAACCACTTGGTTGGTTCGAACGCCAAAAACCAATGCCGAAAACCGAAAGCCGAATGCCGGTTTCTGAAAGCCGAACGCCGAATGGCTTGGTTTTTGGCTTGGGCGAACTCCAAGTGTTTTGACCCAAGTTTAAACTTAAGAAAAATATTTTTGAACATGTAAAAGAGATTTTTATGAATTGAGCCTAGAGAGCCAACATTTGGAATTTTGTGCCGGTCTTGATCACATTAAGACCGACTCAATACAATTTAATTCTTCGTTCTTGATTCTGGATTCTTGGTTCTCAAACCATCATGCCATGTTCCTTCGCCTTGGTTTTTGTTCTTTTTAGCCTTGTTATGTCACGGCGGTTTGGCATTATCAAAACCTGTCATAGAAACGAACATAGTTTAGTACGACGTAGGCGTAAACTTGTGTTCCAACAGCTTTGGCCATATCCACCTTAATAATGAGGTTGTCACCATTAACTTTCCTGTCTAAAGCGTGCAGCATTTCAGTGGTAAGGAGGATTTGGTCAGAAATATCTTTTCCTTGCTGGAATGCACCTTGTTCATGGGAGATAAGTTTGTACAACAATCCCTTAAGCCTTTTGGCAAGAAGTTTACTGTGAATTTTGCTCACAAAGGTGGACAGCGAAATAGGGCGATAGTCATTGAAGGACTTGGGAGAATTGGATTTGGGAATCAGAGTAATGAGAGTGGCTCCAAAAGCTTTAGGGGTAGGGATTCCTAAGAAAAATTCTTGAGCAGCCTTTAGGATGTCTGACCCCACAATTTCCCAGGTTTTCCTGAAGAATTCCCCCGTGTATCCATCTGGTCCGCTAGTGCTATGAGGATCAAGGTCCCAGATGGCATCCCTAACTTCCTCAATAGTTGGGAGGCATGAGAGGGCATGGTTATCTTCATCTGTGATTACTGAGGGAATGAATTGGAGGATATTTTGTAGCCCTTCAATGGTGGACTTTGAGAATGACTCAGTGAAGTGTTGAATTGCCTCTTGCTGGATGTCTTGCTGGAGGGAAAGAACTCTACCATCTTTTGCTTTGATATGTTTCATAGTGAGCTTGGAGTTTCTGCCTTTAACATAAGAGTGAAAGAATTTGGAGTTAGAGTCACCTTTCTCCATCCAATGTATGTTTGCTTTCTGTCTTCAATATTCCACCTCTTTGTTAGTAGCCAAGAGGAGTTGAGCTTTGGATTTGGACCAGGCCTCTCGTGTGCATTCACATGGGTTTTCATCAAAAGCTAATTCTGCAGTAATTGCTGCTTCTTCTGCCAGCCTAACCTCCTGAAAGATGTTCCCAAAGGTATTGGTGTTCCATTCTCTCAGCACGGATTTAAGTCCTTTGAGTTTGTTGATAAGGCCCCTCATACCACCAGTGGAAGGTGCAGAAGACCAGTAGGTAGCAACAAGATTTTGGAAGGTGGGGTGTGCAAGCCAAGAATGAAGAAATCTGAAGGACTTAGGCACTTTAAGGGTAGAGATGGTACATTCCAGAAGGAGGGGGTTATGATCAGAGGTAGTTTTGCTAAGGTGTTGGCACTGAAGATCTGAGAAGGAAGCTAGGGTGTTGGTGTTAACAAAGATTCTGTCCAGCCTGCGCCAAACTCGTCCATGGCCTCTGTTGCCACTCCAGGTAAACCAGCCCCTTACAGGCTCCACACAGGTGAGAGAGGTTGTGTCAATACAATCCTTGAATTCATCCATACTTCTAGAACATGGGATGGAGGCACCTTTGTGATCTTCTGGGGATGTGATTGCATTGAAATCTCCACCCACAATCCAAATTTAATTATCTGGCCTATGATTATTAAGGGCTGACCACAGTTCTCTTCTTAGGGTGAGGTTGTGCTTGCCATAGATGGAAGAGATCTTTATAAATTTAGAGTGTTCTTTGAGAAGGAATCTGCAGGTGATCACTTGCTCCTCCACCACCTTACTTGAAAGGGTGAGGGAATCATTGTGCCAAAATAACCACATTTTATTGGTGGGAGAGGTAGCAAAGGAGGAGTATCCAAAGTGGAGAAGATAGGTTTGAACTTTGGTGTTAGAAACAATGGGTTCAAAGATAGCAATGAAAATGGGACGATATTTATTAAGAAGGGATTGAATCCTTGAGAGGGAGGAGGCAATCCCACAGACATTCCAAAACAGAAGAAACATTAAGGTGGGGGAGGGGTGACTCCTTTTCCTTTGCACTGACTTCTTGTTTGGACACCACTGGGAGGGAAAACTTTCTTTTTACGTGACCTTCTAGGGGTGAGTGTGCCTCCATGGTTAGAACTGATAGGTTTGAGGGTAAAGGCCTCCAGGTTTCCTTTGATAAACGGTTCATCATCCCCCTCTGAGTGGCAGTGGATATCCAATTCTTCCTCTTGGTCACTATGGCTGCAATGCAAACTGTTTAGCCTAAGAGAGGAAATTATGGTTGTGGTAGGATCATGTGTTAAGGCTTCAGGGCTTGTTGCATCATCAAGGCTACCCATAGGGAATCGAGGGACGATTTCGGGTGGATTGAGAGAGGTGGGGGTGGTGGTGGCAGGACAGGCATTGGTGTGTAGTTCTTGGACGAGGTGCTGAGAGGTTTCAATAGTGGAAGGCTGTGTTGCCTGTTTGGACGTACTTGCTTGGAAGGCTACCGAATTTAAAATATTTGAAGGGGGGGCTGTTATCCTCTTCCAGTAGTGCAGGGGTCCATATACAGTTGGAGTTTTGTGATTGGGCCGATTCCTCTGCACAACTGTCCAGCCTTCTGTTATAGGGAGATTAGCTTAAGGGAAGTTAGTTAGAGGCGGTTAGTAGGGTTGTTAAAGCAGTCTAACTAACGAGATATTCCTATTAATAGCTTCTCAGTTGTATGTTTTGGATGATGAATAAACACCTTCAATTCTATTCAATCTCTCTCTCTCTCTCTCTCTCTGAATCTGGTAATTCCGTTCCCTGTGATTCATCCTCGAAGCTCTTCTTCTTCATTTCTAGTAGCTTCCTGCATTGAATCTTCATCACTGGTACCAAAGCCAGGTTCAAATCCTGGCACGAACAAGGAATCGTTCGAGGGAAGAACGAGAATCAGACATGGATAATGTTCAAAACAATCAATTGAGGGCTATTCTGGAGCAGCAATTGGCGTTACAGAATCAGAAAATTGAGGAACTCAGAGCCGAGCAACAGAAAATGCTGGAAAAGATGATGCAGATGCTTGAGAAGTCCAGTAGCTGCGACAACGAACGCAGATCCAATTCAGAACTGATCGGAAATGAAAGAGGTGATAAAAATTCTTTCAAATTTTTACCTAAAATTGAGTTTCCTGAGTTCAATGGTTCAAATCCGAGAAATTGGATTAAGAAATGTGCTCGGTACTTCACTTTGTGCAAAATACCTGAGGAACAAAGAGTAGATGTAGCTTCAATTCATTTAACTGGAAAGGCTGAAATTTGGTTTTCTAGTTACATCACGGTTAAAAAGGGAGTGGAATTGAATGAATTCATTATGGATGTGTGTGGACGGTTTAAAGATGAACTTGACAGTAAGGTTGTAGAAGATTTTAACAAATTATATCAAGGAGGAACAGTTGAGGAGTATCTGGAGAGGTTTGAGGAATTAAAGGCATTAATGTTGCAAAGAACTCCTATGCTCCCTGAGGATTACTTTGTGGATAGCTTCGTAGGTGGTTTAAAGGCTCATATTAAGCCATTTGTGAAAGCGTTGAAGCCTCAAACTCTAGATGAAGCTGTACAGTTGGCCAGACTACAGGAAGAAGCAGTTCAGGTTACCAGATTTGGGCCTAGATCTCTGCCATCTAAGTCAGCAACCACATCTGCTTTGCTACCTACTCCTAAAGGTACTATCACTGGCAACAGTAATAGTTCCTTCCCTGAGTACAGGAACAATAACACTTCAACATTCAGTGATACCGATTCAACTAAAAGCACTGCCAGGAATTTTAGGCCTACCAAAGTCTTAACTGCAGCAGAAAGAGCAGAGAAGAGTGCTAAAGGCCTATGCTATTTTTGTGATCAGCCCTATGTGAAGGGTCACCAATGTCAAACTAGAAAAACTCAATTGTTTCTAGTAGAAATCCCTGGAGAAGATTCAACAGAAGGAGAAGTAGAAGAAGAAGAAGAGTACCCTGAGAATAGCAACAGGGAATTTGAAATATTGGAAACTGAA